AAACAAGTTTCTGGGTGATACATATATTGGAGATTTTTCCTCTATGGAAAAGAAATGTATTTTATCTTCCATCACTTGCAAAGAGTTTAAATTTTGAGGGCTGCTTCTCTTTGTGGCAGCCTAAGCGCAAAGCAGGGCAGAAACCTTTTATTCTAGAATAAACCCCAAGCCAAGCCCTTTCAGCTGCAGGAAAGTATGGAAGCCCCATCCATTCTTGGCCTCTTAACAAAGCCTTGTCTCAGGCATCAAGAGGTAAAAATAAATGTCACTCCATGCTGCCTGATGATTCCACAGGATTCACACTAATCAGAGCACTTCATTAATTATTTAGCTTCAGGGAAATGTGCCAAACGGTTCTGACACTTCAGATATACAAAGTAATTGCCACGTTTACTTCCCAGCTAATGGGGAGGCCAAAATAAATTGTTCTGGGCTGAGTGGGTGTGTGTGGGTGGGCATGGGAGTGGGAGGGGTGAAGCAGGGGCAGGATCTTCCTGCCCTTGCATGTGGTTTAACCCGTACTCCAGAACCCACAGAGCTTCACCATGTCTCAAAGGGCTCAGGGTTGTCCCCCCCTATGTGTCAGCGTGGGCTGGGCATGTCACAGCCCTCGGCCACGGCCATCTCCATCCTCCCCTCCGTGCAATCTGCCTCCGAGCATCACGCCTCCGTTTGCTTCCTGCCGCTCCAGGGCTCCTCTGGCTCCTCAAGCCAACACGGGGGCTGCCGGTTTGTTTGCTCCGAGCTGCCAGAGCAGGATTAGACCCTGTGCTGGGAGAAGTGCTGAGCCGCATCCTGCGCGGAGGGCTCTGCTCCCCCCTCCCGGCTGCCGAAGCACGTGGTGACAGGCAGCAAGCAGCTCTCCCTGCTCCAAAATAAGTAGGTCTCGACTGCAGGTTTGCGACCTGAGAAAAACAAACAAATGCAGAGCAGGGTGGCTATATTTATCTGGAATTTAGAAGCTGTGGTTCACAGGAAACTTTGATCACTTTAAATGTCAGGCGATCTGGGAAAAGAACGAGGGGGGAACAAAAGCACAGTTGAAAATCAAGTGTTTTGGAAAAGGGAAGAGCTGCTGCTTCCAAAATGAAGTAAATCCTTCTCTTCTGGCCCTCATCCTAAGCTGATGTCTCTCAGCTTCAAGCTGGGGGTACGCAGAGGCTGAGGTTTCCAAAGCCTGGACCTGCAGGTGCTGAGCACCAGCAGCACTCAGAGCCCTGCCCAGCATTCAGGAGGAGCTGATCACATGTACTGCACCTGTGACAGAGGAGGTTCATCCAAAACAAAGTATGGCAATTGAGTTTGGGGTTTGGGTTTGTTTGGTTTGCAAACAAAAAAAGATTGTGGTTTTCTTGAATCTATCATAATTTAAAATTAATGTCATGCCATTATGTTTTATCTCTGATTCATTTTCAAGGCATTATTTTAAGTACCTGGCATATGAAATGCGAGGACCTCAGATGGGACACAGAGATATCGTGCTTTTGGTCCCTGGATGCATTTATTAAGAACGAAGTAACTGATGCAGTACAAAGGGATATTTGGTGGTACCTGTCTCAGTCAGGGAGTTTCATCAAAGCCCCGTGTACTTCAGTGTTTTCAAGGAGTGAAACACTTTGGGAAAGCAGTTCTGAAATCCCAGCAGGCCTTCTGCAATGCTTGCCCAGACCTATTTTACTGTTCTCTTTGGAATTCCCCCATTTCTGTAAAAGCCAAACCTGTTGCAAGGGAATTCACTATTCATGCAGAAAATGTAGTATGTTGTCCTTTCACCTCGTATTGCTCATGTGCAATGCTCTGGGATAACAGTTATTTCTGGATATCTGCAAATCTACACAGTTACTCTGAAATTCCTGCTAATTTACCATATTGAAGAGCTATTATTGCAGCAGAGTGGTTAAATGTTCTGTCAACAAGAAGAACATTTTTCCTTATTCAGTTTTGTCCAGTGGACTTCCATGACACTTATTAATTGATAAAGATAGCAAAATAACTCTATTTTGCATATATATATATATATTCAAATTCACCCTATATCTCCTATTATATGCATGCTCATCTCAGAGTAGAGAGCTACCATTTCTTTTGCAGAAGCATTCAGGAAAATGTGGCTTATGGTGTTTAATTATATCATCAGGGAAATCTGAATTCCTTAGTTTTTCTTCCTTTGGTTTTCTAAACGTGAAATAGTTTTGCTGACCTATCTTTAATCCTTTGGCCTTGAGAATGGGAAATTAAATTGTCTTTTCTCAGATACTTGATGTCAGCATCCAAATCAGGACTTTCTCATTGTGTGCAGAGAGGGGGAGCAAGGATATATGATGTTCAAGTACTCAGAGATAGGATCTGTTCTTCAGAGAGAAACCCATTTCCACAATTTCAGTGTGCAAACTCAGTTCTGCATTTTTTTCCTTCTCTTTTTTCCTCATTTTGCATCTGCTTGCATGAGATAACTAGTTTTAGGGATGACTGATCTTAAGTTTCTAATGAGCTGGCTCCAGGGTGTGGATTTTCATTGCATATTCTGCTGATTGGATGCTGGAAGCTTGCTTGACCTTGCTTATGGTATCTTCCATAAGATAAATATGTATTACATATGATCCATCCTTTCCTCTTCCCTCTGCCCCATGTGAGGGGATGTGCCAGGGCAGGGAGAGCCCCTCAGTACTCAAATCACCGCTGTTTTTCTGTGTAGCTCTTCTTCCAACCGATGTCCTAAAATGCCCCACAAAACCATTTTCCCTGTTTGTTTCCCCAGCAAACACAATTCTGACCACTTTTCAGCCAATGCTTCTGGCACATCATTTCCTGATCTAATTCTTCTAAATTACCCTAGAGGCCCATAATAACATTTAAAACTCAAGAGTGCTGCTTCAGTGTCCAAAGCACTTCTGTAGCCAGTGCTCATACCGACTCTCACCACAGCCCTGCTCATATTCTTTCTTTGCTTTCTCCTTCCCACAGCCTTGCAGTGACACTCCTGTCTTACACGCCAGTTTTTATGTCCTTCATTTCTCCTTTTGGCTTTTTTCCCCCCTTGGACAGCACCAATGCACTCCTTATCCATCATCCCTTTGTGCCATACAGCACTGTTGGCATTGCTGCAATAAGCAGCCACACTCTCTGCCTCCTCCCTCGCCTTTGCAAGTGCTGCAGGGCTGCTTTTGCTCAGGACAGAAGCAGCTGCTTCTTAATCTGCCCCTGCCCAACCTGGACCCCCTCCCTCTGCAACCTCAGCCAAGATTTTTGCATGTTAACAGCCTGCTTCCCAGCCTGAGTACGATTTGGGCTGTGGCATCTTGGTACCCACAGTGTCTCGCATCCATGGAGCAGGCGGAGTGGCTATTGGATCCAGCAGTGTATTAGTGATCTGTTGCTGTTTTCCAGGGAAAGCTGGGGTTGCCATGACAATTGTGTGTCGGCCGAGCCTGTGTGTGCATGGCCACAGCATCTGCACACCTCCTTCACTAATGCATTTATTCTCCCAGCCTCCCTGTTCAGTGGGGTGGGGGATGCAAAGATGCCCATGGTGGGATGTTTGAAGCAGCTCTCTAGCATGGTGAGCAGCTCAGAGCCTGCTGGATTATACTCTTTCCCGAAATAAATTATCTGGGGGGAAGAACTGGGGCTGGAGAAAGGGGCTTGCTCTATGTTAAGTCATTCTGCACCTTCTCCCCCCTGCCAGGTTTGGGCTGGCAGGAGGAGCACCACGTACAAGAGCAGAGGAGCCAACAGAACACTGCAAACCACAGCTCATTTGCAAGCACCCCCGGCTGCTTATGAGAATCTCAACCTGAATTAAGGGCTTGTGGCACTGCTGCAAATGAAACCTCAGTCTCCTGAACCTCTGCCTGCAGGCTGTTGGTTTAGTTTGCAGTCACAGTCACGCAGTTTGTAGTTGTATTTTGCACTTGGACAGAGCATCCCAGCCCCTGAATCGGCACCTGGAGCTTCACAACTTGGGCCTGATCCCAGCAGGGCAGGAGCACGGGGTGGCCCATGTAAGCTGGAAGCAAAGCTTCAGGATTTCTGTGGGAACATCTTTCCTGGGGGTGCACCAGAGCTGCCTGAGCTCAGGACCTGGATGTGTGGAGGAGCAAAGGGCAGGACAGGATCTGTCTAGTGCAGCTCTGTGGCAGAGCTGTGTTGGCTCAGCACTTTGTCTGGATTGCAGCAGGGCTGCCCGCCTGGGGCATGGCTCTCTCTGGGCACCATGTGCCATGTGCTTGTAGTGGCATGGTCCCTGCTCACATTCTTATTTCTCCCTCTCCCAGCAAAGCATCTCAGGGGCTGTGCCTGCCCTCCAGAGTACCAGCAGCAGAAGGAGAGAGCCGGCAAGATGAGCTGCTCTAGAGCCCTGGTGGTTTGTGGCACTGCCATGTGGCAAAGTCCAGGCCTCATTTCCCAGCTCAGGCACTGTCCACCAGTCCTTGCTTTGAGATTCTGCTAAAAATGCATCATTGTCATCTCTTCTGGGCATGGTTGGCCAGAGAGGAGGCTCCTCTGTCCCCCAGGATCTTTACACAGCACTGGGCAGGATTTCATCATTTCCAAGAGCAATGCAATCCCAATTCATCTTTACAGTCTTGATCCCCCCTGGTCCAAGAACTACAGCCTACCAGCCTGCAAGTTGTATTGCAAAAATGAGTCAGGCTCCTTTGTTAGAGCCGCAGATGTTGTGCTGGGTGCTGCAAAAACAAAGCTTAAAAAGCAGACAATGCCCCAAATTTAAATAGACCAAGCAGACCCGGAGACCTAAGGGAGGTGATTCCCAAGGTCATGTAGGAAGCCTGTGGCGGACGCACGGACTGAACACAGATCTCCTGAGGCTCAACCACACTGTGGTCTCAGGACTGTCTTTTCTTTTGTCTTCCAGTCCATTAGGAAGATCAGTTAATGAAATGGAATTAATAATGCCAGCTGCAGCACCAGCAATGCTGTAGGAGAGAGAAAAATTTCACAGCACAGACTTAAAAGCAGAAAATGGGAGTAGGCTGTGAGTGCCATGAGAGCCCTTTGTAATGGGGGAGTGCAGGAGGTCAGCCAGAGCTTTAAGGTCTCTTCGGCTTTACTGATCGAATCTTAAAGGAGGAATGAAAATGTAGCCACTACCTCCCCCAGAGGAGAGAAACACACAATTTTAAGGTTCCCAGCAACTGAAAAAAAAGTAGTCCCACTGGAAAGAATCAAAAGACTTTTCTAGGTCAATGGCAGGAATAGAGCCTTTATTTCTGTGAACCTCACAGTTCAAAAATAACATTAAACAACAAAGAGAAGTTATCCCACTGAAGAACCAGGAGTAAATCAAAACTGATTCTTATGTGTAAGTCATGCTGTTACCTGCAGTAATCAGGGAGCTCAAACAGCACCACAGGAGTCCCGGCCATCTCTGGGATGGCCTGTGAAGAGGGTCTGTGCCAGCTCCACTGAGACACATCAGATGTTCAAAACTCAAAACTGTTTAATAACAATAGCGTCAAATCTAAGGACTTGCCCCCACGTGGCTCATTTACTAGGATTCAAGGAAGGGCCGCCTTGTTGCCAGGAAGGGAAGCAAGTGCAAAGTGTGTCTCACCTGATTCTTTCACACACTTATTTGACTCATGTCACGTGGTTACTGGTGAATACCTTATGATAATCTCAGACTTTGAGCAAAAATGGCTACGAAGAATAGTTCTGCTGAGCAGAAAGTGAAAGAGGCAGCAGATCAGAAGCTTAGCAACACATCTCAAAATCACACTTCTTGTCCTCATGAACCATCCAAATATTTTGATTGATGATTTAAAAAAAAACCGTATAAACCCAGGCATTTCAAGACTTATAAAAGAAATTGCAAGGAGACTGGAACATTGTGTGACAGGCTGGGACATGGGGCTTCTTTTGTTACGGGTATTCAGCTCCAGACTTTAATTGCACCATTTTAATACCATATTGTCTTTTTTACCAGTTTATTGATTCCTTTTGTGGTCTGAAGACCTGAAAAAAAAGGTAATTCATCACTGCATTACATCTCCTAAGAGAAAACACCAAAGACCTGGGGCAAAAGACAACAAGGACGGAGCTGTCTATGTTCTACCTGCAGTAGATGTAGTGATGGACCTGAAAAAGCCATCGGCTTCTCCCGGCTCATGGCCTTGCCACTTGAGCTGCCTCTGAGTGATTCTGCAGACCACAAAATGTGCAAGAATGAGCACCAGACAGTGAAAAGGATGAAAGCAAAGCCAGGATCTGGCCCATCCATCTGCTATTGACAGCCTCCGTACAAAAATGTAATTGCTGGCTGCCCTTGGCTTGGAGTACTCAGGCAAAAATTCCCCGTTGCTCTTTAGAGCTTCGAGACATATTAATGCAACTTTTAAAATAGCATCCTCTCTATTTTTGTTGCTAATGCTAAGAACAAATTAGCTTAGAAGAAAAACCCAATGATCTCCCTTAATGCTATTGTTCTCCTAAAGTGCTAAGTGTCAGGATCTTACAGCACCACGCTGCAGATCTGGCGCTGCCCTCAATGTGTCCCACGGAGCGTTGACGCGGAGTGATGCAGGGCGCTGCTCCGAAAAACGTAATCAGTCCAAAGTGCCTTCAAAGTCACTGCTCTTTGAGCAGAACTAGCAGTGGTTTCAGCTCTGCCTTTGGATTTTAAGTCATTAAATAGCCTTTGAAACCCATGCTCATTTCCACCCCCTCCCTCCGGCGGGATTGTTGAGGGACAACAATCCTGAAGTTTATTTAGTTTTATGTGTGATCCTTCCTGTGTTAGAACAGTGGGTACTTGTGACCTCGTATGGACTGTTATGCCAATTCAAGTATATTTACCTAAAAAGCCTTAAATGTTGCTAACTCTGACCTCATCAGAGCTCATCAGTGGTGCACAGGCAGGCCAGGTCACCATGAAAGTGGGAGGACCTTCGGAGGGAAACAAGGTAAGGTTGGAGTCCTGATGCAGGACTTCTGGTGCCCCTGTAAAAAGCACAACCCTGGTGGCCCATACACCATGGCAGGGTGCTCGTGTCTTTTGCTGAGCTGCACTCTGCACCTCATCCAATCATCCCTGTTGTGGCTGCCCCATCCCTGGAAGTGTTCAAGGCCAGGTTGGATGGGGCTTTGAGAAACCTGGTCTAGTGGGTGGCAACTCCCTCCATGGACAAGGGGTTTGGAATAGATGATTTTAAGGTCCCTTCTAGCCCAGACCATTCTGTGATTTTATGATTCTACGATCCCTGCTGAGGTTGGAGGGATGGAAGGAAACAGTCCAGCCATCAATACCCTACACATGGGTTAACTTGACCAGAGGTTTCCAGCAATAGGAGGTTAGGAAGGGCTGAAAACAACCAGGTAACTCTATTTTACTGACTCCTTACCCTACACATCCTACATACACTGGTCATTATCTCTGGCTGAGCTAATTAACATGCAAATACTGATGAGCCAACTTGGCTTGTGGCTGTGCCATCAACACTGCACTTCATGTGACCTCACTAACACATCTTAAGATCTGCAATAATTTCAGTGACATCCACAGGAGAAGGTGGCTTCCAATGGACAGTGCTCTGAAGGGAAGGGAAGCAAATTCCATTTACTGATTTTCTTCCTGCTTCTATCCATGATCACAGGAAAGTTCTCCTCCAACACTGCAGTGTCCTGTAGTTGATGCCAAGATCTCTGTGCATGTTTCACCCTTCAGATCCAGGCAGTGCCATGCTTATTCGTGCCTTCCAGTCTGCTCAGTAAAGCTTGAATTGGTGGTCCTGGTGTAGTTCTGGTGAAAAGAAGCAGTTCTTACCCTCAGACTATTGAAAACCAGCTGCTTAGTCCTAATACTGGCTCACTACTTACTGAATGCATAATTTAAATTCTTATTGTGGAAATAAATTTTTTATCAATAACCGTTTCAGTCCTGGATCCACCAGGGCTGATTGGCACTTTTTGTGCACATCTATGTAGTCACACACACAGTGTCATGTGTGAGACACTGCCTTTGTCCCTCACCTGCCTCAGCTCCTGGGATAAATGAGTGCAAATGCAATGTTCTTGTTACTGTGGTAAAGTGATGGGTTCTGGTTGAATTAAAATTGTTCTGGAAGTAGTGTGGGACAGTCCAGTCACATGGGCCAGGTCTGAAGTGATGCTTTTCCAAAGGGAAGTAAGAATTTAAGCAGGAAACCTGATGATATGGTTCATTTTAGTAGCCTGGAAGAGGAAATGGAGACATGAAGTCTGGGGCAAGACAAATTCCTACAAACAGTGGAGGCAAGGAGAGATCATCAGTGGGATGTTAAATGTACATGGACCACTCTTCTGTCCAAAGGGAGTTTTTCCTTTATACCTGACTGAGAAACGTGATTTCCAGTGAGACTAAGCAGATATCTTTTGCCTTCTCTCTCCTGTGTTGCTGGTGGTACATATCAAATAGCCATGAATTTCACCTGTGCACTATGTTTGGGGTCTCTCTGGCTTTTTTCAAGGTACTCAAGGATTTAGGAGTTTCGTGTGAGTGATGGCTCTGCTCTACATACACTGCTTGTAAATACCTTGTATGATGGATTGGTGCTGGGAACCCCATCACAACAGTGTGCAGGGCAAAATGTATCAATAGGGATATTTTCTGCTCTTGCAAAGGGTCTAAACCAATCAGCCATGCTTAGAAGTCATCCCTTGCCAACCTGTTTCTTCCCTTTTTTAACAAAGCCAGGAAGAACACAAAATCCAGATTTGTGACATTGTTTGTCAATGATTTAATCTTACTATACGCAATGATAGTTGAAGCCAGTTCTGCACCAATTAGTTAACTATTTCACTCTTAGGGGAATTCAAGCGCCTAAGCAAGTGTTTTGGGGGATATCAAAGATGGTTTAGAAACATGAAAAAAAGCTGTTGGCCTCTGTAATCCCAGCAGAGTTTCCTAGGTAAAGGGAAAGATCACAGTATGGTGAATCTCTCCAATTTTGGCTTTCTTCTAGGAGATGGGTTACCTGAGGGAAGGGTAAGTGACCTACTACTGCCAGTTGGAGGAGATATCTGTTAACTCAGGCATTAAAGACCATTTGTTTCTGGAGCCAAAACAGCAGAGGTCAAACTCTATTCCCCATTCTGATGGGTACCTGACCCACTGTGTCTGCAGTGGTGTCTGTTTCTATACAAAAAAAGCTAAATTAAGCATAACATGACTAAAGTAAAATTATTTCACAAACTGTCATGATTAAATACGGACTCAGAGAGGAGAGGTCCCCAGCTGGGATTGTTCTGCCAATGATGACTGGACCAAGTCAGATATGATGTATTTCAGGTCACTCTTCAGTGAAGTGGGGTGACTTTTGGGGGAGTTTCTCAGTAATTAATAATGACCCCAAAATCTGAAAATGCAAACAGGTTGTGTGGCAAAGTATTTTTTTTTCCCAGTATTTGCCAAGTATGCTCCAGTGCTTAGTTATGATGTCTCTGTAAGGCTACTTACAGTAGTTTTTTTTGGAGGGGTAACTGAGGCAGAGACCATGGGAGGAGTGTCAGGGAGGGTGTTAAAATTCAGCTATTAGTGGGCTCACAGAAAGGATACATTTTCACAAATTGTCCTGTATACCTGCACACCTACACCTTAAATCCTGGTTTATGCAGCATTTTGAGCAGTGAGTGAAGGCAACACATACGCTGAACACCCAAACCTGGGTGCAGCTGGCAGTCCTCAGCATCCTGGTGTAGTAGGGCTTGGCATGAGGGGCCACATGGGTCACCCTGTGCCTATAGGGGGAAAAGGGTGATCCCCAGTGCTGTGGATACTCTGCTGTTTTCTACTGTTTTTTAAAAAATAGCAATATGGGGCTTGCTCTCTTGGGGTCAGATCCTGACCTTGTTTTTTTTTCCTGCCTGCTCCCTGATCTCACCCAGCTGGGCAGAGATGGGGGGGGGGGAGGCGGGGGGCATCAAATCCTAAAGGGGTTGGGTGAAATTTGGCCCTCACCAAAAAAAAAAAAAAAAAAAAAGAAAGAAAAAAAAAGTGAAGAAAACACCGGATTCCATCACTGTCAAGAAATTTCTGGAACACGAATAGTCACAACCGTAGAGACACATAGCACACACTGCTCACCCTCCGCCGCCCCCCCTTCCACCCACACCCAATTTGTTTTTATTTCTTTGCCATCAGGTTGCCTTAACCATTTCCATGGCTTAGGGAGGCTAAGCCGCCGAGCGCAAGCTTTTGATTTGAAAAGGGACTGCATCCCCTTTTCAAAGGAGCCTGCTCCCTAGGGCAACCACATCACACTGCTGATTTGCTGCAGTGGAGACCGCAGCGCGTACAATATGCCCTCCCCCTCCGCCTGTGCTGCTTACAGCATCAGTCCGGAGCCGAGCGGGGAGACGGGAGCGATACCCACTAACCCACCCATGCTCGGGAATGCCTGACTGGTAACGCAGTGCCTCCGACGAAAGGACCGGCAGCTCCTCAGCTCTCCGAGATGCAAGCCAGTGCCGATTCCACCAAGATGGACTGTCTTTGGAGCAACTGGAAATGTCAGGGTATTATATCTATTCTAGTGTTGCATGCTAGAAGGACTGCATGGCAGAGGAGGCAAAGGCAGGATCCATCCATTTTTGCATTGTTCACCTGTGGGCCTTTGCATGCTGTTTTCTCTCCCTCCCCGTGAAGCTTTTCTTTTGGGGTAATTTAAGAAAGAAAGATAAAAAGCCCTTAATTCTTTGAATGCGTTTCTCCCATCTCCAGCTGTCTCACCCTGAAAGCATCCAGAATACAGGTCCTCCCTTCCCACCTTACAGCTCATTCCCAAAGCATCCGCCCTTGCCGTTAGCGGCGTCATTTCTCATCCTTGACTCTCTCCGTCGGGATATCGCTGGCATGATTTCCTACCTTTCGGGCTTTAGGAAAGCCGGGTGACGGTGAATTGGTGCCCGCTGGGGCTGGCGAGGGTTGGAGGTGGTGGCGTTGGGCGCCTGGGTGCCTCCTGCCCACGGACACACCCAGAGCCAGGCTTAGCCTAGTGTCGACACAAAGAAAACGCAGCTTTAGCAAGGAGGGCGACAGCTCCAGGGCGCCGCGGGATTGCCCCCTGCTTCCTACTTTGCCCTAGGATAGCTTTAAAAAAAACCCAAACAAACAAACAACAAACCATTAATCCTCTCATTATGCTGCCGAGCACTCCGCTGAGCCGTTCGGGGGTGAAATGTTGCGATGATGTTGTCTCTCGCTGCCGCGTAGGCGAGGGGAACAATAGCATCTCCCTTTTGGGCTGATTTTCAGCGTATTTTCAGCGGGTCGGTGTCTGCGTTGGGTGGGGCTGGCCACCTTCCCGGGTGCCTCGGACAGCTTTTCAGCCATTTTTAGTCGGGCTTCACACTTCCCAGGCAGCATCCAGCCTTTGTTTTGATATAAGACAGTCTCTGTGACGCTGCTTGGTGGGCAGATTAGAGGGAGAAGAGCTAGCGGCTGATCCTGCGGGGCAGGCTGCTCCGGGCAGGCTTTGTTTGGATGTATTTTTTAATTTTAAGGTGCGTGTTTATGCTGAATAGTCAGTTCATGATGTTGATGCTGACAACAGGGTCCCTGGGAGAGAGATTACTCCATAGCATCATCTCATTAAAGGGTCCAGGGTGCTTGCACACATGGTTTCATAAACGCAGCTCGATGCAACAGAAGCTGGAAAACCTTCCTCAAGTGTTTTTTGGGTAGGGGGAGATCTCCTCAGACAGGCAGTTGTCTCTGGGGAGCTTGATATTTTTGCAATCTTAATTCAGCATCTAATTGTATTTACGGACTGAGGGTTTTTTAAGGAAGATGAGTAGCTGGAAAGTAAACAGATGCACCTGTTAAATGCCAGTCTCCAGCAGCTCCAGCTTTCCATGCCGTTATCAAGGGCGAGGGTTTTCCATAGGTCTGCCTGATTCACTAAGCTTACACGGGAGAGCCACAACCAAACTTCAGGGTCTTTTCATCTGAGCTTTGCAGATAAACTTCCTCGTAGGGTGGGGCTTGGGGTTTTTGTTTGGTTTATTTTTCCCAAAAATGCTCAATATTTTGCTGATTTTTATAAAAACATTGATTTGCTGAGTCAGATTGTTGAACCACCTGTATTTAGAGGTAAACTAAGTATTTTCTTTATTTATCAGAAAAATTTTTTTTTTCATGAAATAAATAAGGGAAATAATGAAGGGCATGCTGCTAGTGTATGATTAATAATAATAGCGTGGTTTCTCTCCTTCAGCGTTTTCCTTTTCAAAACTGTGGTAGATTTGCTGAAAATTACATGACAAAATATGTCCCATGCTGGTTTGAAAAAAAAAAAAACCCAGTTCTGAAAAAATCAACGCAGCTAAAATAAATCACTTGCCTCACTTCCACTGAATTTGCATATTTTTTTCTTATTCTTGGGTGGTGCTTTATGATTCAAAAATGGTCTTGCAGAAAACATGAAATAGTCACAGAATATGATTTCTGTCAGCAAAATTCTTTGATCAGTCCAGATAAAATAGAAGAAATTTAAAATTCAGAAGAATGGAGACTCAATTCATTGATTCTTTTAATATCTATTATTCATGTAGTCTCTGTCTCAACCCAGAATATCAGTTTCGTGCAAACCTGGAGTTGTATAATTTTGCCAGCTTCATTGTCAGTTGAATTATGGTTCCTCCCTGAAAACTCTGGAATGTCTGTGAGCATAACAGGTGCAGACAGAAACCTCAGTAAATGCAGAGCGTATTTCTACTGAAATTAAGGAGATACAACACTGAGGTTTACATAAGTTTTAATTACTAAACAGTCAAGCCTACAACTAGCTGTATCATTGGTTGACCTTATGGCACTTATAACTGGTTGGGGATCTTGAGGAGCTGCAGAGACACTTGGTGAAGCTTTGGCTTTGCCCGACTAGACCAATGTGCTGTTATTTTCCTTGCTGTGAAGCAACTGCCGCTGTTGCATATGTTTAGGAATATTGCAGAGTGTTTTACCTGTCTGTCCTGCAGGTTCAGCAGGATTATAGCAATGGGAGATCACGATCCAGCCCTTGGGTGAACAGGACTGTAATTTGGCCCCGCTGGGGGTCTGCTTAATTCAAAATATTAACACAGGTAGCTTTGGGGAGTCGAAGCCGAGTTCCACGCCCCAGTCGTCTCCCTGCACTGGAAGGTGATGCATTTGAAGCAGGCTGGGATGGGGCCATGCATAATGCATGAGCGTGTGTAGGAACGTCTCCGACTGGGCATTCTGGTGGCTGCGGGCCCTCGTGTGACAACCTACAGCCAGTGTCAGCCGTGTGACACACCGAGTGTGCAGCTTCCAGAGGGGCCCTGCTGGGTGAGGTGTGCCTCCAGCTTCTGGTGCAGCACCTCTGTGCCTTCCCCAGGCACTCGGCCCTGCTCGGCAGGACACAGCTTCACACCCTGCTAGAGAGGTTTCTCTGGGTTAGGAAGGACATAGAATCGTAGAATATCCTGAGTTGGAAAGGACCCACTAGGATCAACTTCTGGCCCTTCACAGGACAGTCCAACAATCCTACCATGTGCCTGAGAGTGCTGTCCAAAAGTTTCTTGAACTCTGTCAGGCTTGGTGCTGTGACCAGTTCCCTGAGGAGCCTGTTCCAGTGCCCAGCCACCTTTGGGTGAAGAACTTTTTCCTAATATCCAAACTAAAACCTCCCCTGACCAAGCTTCATGCCATTCCCTCAGGTCCTATCACTGATCACCGGAGAGAAGAGATCAGAGCCCAAGTTTGCCCCAAATTGGTGGAGGGAGCTATTTGATGTCAGTTCACTGGTCCCCATGAGTATTCCCTTTTCCACTCTCTTCTTCTACATGCCAGCTCTTGTGTGGTAGTAACTGACGTGCCCGTTCCTTCACTTTCAGCCTCCTTCAAGACTTAGTAAAAAAGAAGCATGGAAAGATCCAGAGAAACAGGCCTGTGAACAGTTCATAGAAATTATCCTAAGTGTTATCCACATTATAATTATAACTTAATGTGGAAAAGGACTGCAGACTTCATCAAATCCATCTGGCTGACATAACTGCTGGGACTGGAGTTATTGATTAGCATTTTCTTGACAGCTGTTTTCAGAGAACCAGCTTTCTTGCTTGGTATATCATTGGTTTCGAAAGGGTGATGAGAAGCTGCACCAGCTGTTCCTGGTGATGTTCCCCGCTCTAAGGCTGAAAGAGGAGTTCAGTGACAATAATATGGATGCATGCAGTTAATCTGTAATCTTATTGACAGTTGTGAAGCCTGTTTAATTACAGCTTTATAATGAAAACTTAACTTTAGCCAGTTGGTACCTTCAGTGCTTTCCTGAAAATAGTGTGGGCTGATCTCTCAGCTGGGATGCACGCAATAAAAATACGTCCCAGTGTTTGGTTCTTGGTAGGGCTAAAATCTTGTAACCAAGTCATCATCTGGTGTAACCAAATTAACTGATAGTTTCACAAAACTACAGTAACTCAGGAGGAATTTGTGTCCTAATTTCACAGAAGATTTCCTGTGAAATTTGTCAGGATTTTTTTCCACTTTCAGGTTTACTTTCATTTTAATTCGTGTCAGTTCTTCTTCCAGCATATTCCTGTTGATGGCAATACAACTGTAAGATCAAGAGCTTAAGGTTAGAGGATAAATTCTCTTAGATGTACTTCAAACTGTTTGTCTGCCAACCATCCCAAAGAACACCTTGACATAGGAGGTCAAAAAATCCGTGAGACAGTGTGCTCTGCATACCTGCTGTGCATCATAGAATCATAGAATGGTTTGGATTGGAAGGGACTTTAAATACTATATAGTTCCAACCACCCTGCCATGGCCAGGGACACCTTCCCCTGGACCAGGTTGCTCAGAGCCATGTCTTTTAAGAACAGATGGACAATATTCTTTTATTGCTACAACAAGGTGAAAATTCTGCAAAAATAAGATTATTTAAAGGTATTCCCCTCGGAGTAATTTAAATTCCAGCAAGAGGCTGATGGGGCAATAGCTGAAGGCAATACTGGAGGGCTGCTTTTGTTTTCATTAGGACTCTGGGACATGAGTTCCACTGAGGTTTTTTGGTATCAGAAGGGATACTCTCCACATCCCACTTAATTATCAAAAATAATATAGGCTTGAACCTTGATTCATTTTGAAAATCTGCAGATTCTCAAATGTTTGGATAGAATTAGAGAGGGTCCAGGTCTGTTATTTTAGTCCAGGGGCATCTTGGGAAAATCTTAGCATTTCCATAGCATTATGTGCATTCAGGGACTCTGCTTGGTCTCTGCTCACTTAAGGCGAGAGCAGTATCATCCTCCACAGAAACTGTCTAAGACAGGTAATGATACGGTTTGATGAGCAGGAGGTGTGTGTTTCTCTGGCCTCTGTGTTTAATCCAGGTCTTCAAGCATCTCTCATGTGAAAATGAAAATAACAACAGCATAATCATTAATAACAGCAAAAATAACATTACTAAATACTAATTAATATAAATAATAAATAATGCTACAATGGGCCTGTGTGAGGCATGGTTGTAGGGCTGATATTTTTATTGCCAATCCTCCTCTGTTTACCCAAGCCCACTCTGGTGCCTCATGTAAGAAAATCAATCAATACTTTTTTGCTCACATTCTGATCTTGCAGATGGAGTAGGATATAATGTGGAAGGTATACTGTTTCAAGACTTTCCATTTCCCGGGTCCTGTTCACGCTTCTTGGTCTGAACTTTCAAGTTAAGTCTTGGGACAGGTAAAGACAGAAAGCTGAACTGAGGACAGGAAGTTAATGGGCAGAGCATGTATGAGAGGTAGACGTAGGGAGAGATTCCTCAAGGCTGGAGATAAAGGATAAGGAGATATGCCTCATGAAACAGCACATATATTCATTCTTGGCTCTGCTGTTCATCACAGCAGTCTCCTGAAGGCACCAAACTGTTCATTCAACTGTGTATCCATCTGTATTACATTAGAATCAGATCTGTTGTGGTGAGAGGAGCAATGTCCACATTGGATCCTTCACTGGAGAGAAGAGGGAAGGCCTGGTCCTGCAGCCCATGGTTAAAGCTGCAAACTGGACTTGCTTTGAGTGTGAGCAATATTTATTTCTACTCAAAAACCTACAGAATTGTTGCATTTTGTTGTCAAATATTTTTGTGACAGTGCTGTAAACAAGATTGTTCTTAAATTATGTTTCCTGATCTTTTCACTCCCAGTAAGTCTGAGAAATGCTTTATGAAGTCATGATATTACACTGTGTACAGAATTAAAGGCTGTGTGTAGACAGGTTTTTCTCACTTCTCTTTAAAGTTAGCATTAGATAGGGAGTGAAGCTGTACAATGTGTTGATCACATCCAAGGGTGCTATTAGTATGCTGAAGAACATACAACCTTTTAGGCAGTTGTCA